CTGGGGTTTTCACTGGTGTAAGTAAACTGGTTTAAAAACTAACTTCATTTGAATTGCAAAAAGAACAGGAGTACTTGTGGCACCTTAGAGACTAACAAATTTATTAGAGCATAAGCTTTCGTGGGCTACAACCCACTTCTTCGGATGCATATTGGTTCATTTTCATGTAGACGTGTGTAACGACGGCAGCTCTGCCAGGTGGGGCTGGAACCCGGGGGGCTGTCGCTGACGCTGCCCTCCCCAGGGTTAAAGCCAAACCCCACAGCAATGACCGAAGGGCTGGGGTAGGGGACAGAGCCATGGTCCCAGAATCTGGCTGCTCTAAGGATGCACAGGAGCCGTGTGAGGAGCAGCAGCAGGGCAGGCATAAAGCGACAAAACAGCCTCACAAAGAGGTGGGTTTTTGTATTTTGTTTTACACTGAACCTGCTGCTTCAGGCAGGATGGGCAGCAAACCGCAGGGGTCCCCACTGCAGCCACTGGTCCCCGCGTGTGACAGACAGCTGGGATCACGCGGGCCGGTCTGGAGGCTGAGAGATGGGAGAGCAGGTGGGATGTTTGCAGAGCGAACGGGGAGGCATTGGCTGAAGAAGGTGCTAAGGGGGATAGTGCAGCTGGTTCGGGGAAGAGCAGAAGCTGAGATGAGGCCTGTCCGTGCCCCCCCGATCCTGGGGCGTCGGCTGCCGGCGCGGGGCTCTCGGAACGGGAGGGGAGGGGGCTGCCCAGCAGGGGTGGGGGCTTCAGCGGGAATTTTCCATCGTGTCGGCGTCAGGGGCTTTAAACAAACACAAACATCCCCTGAGACAGGATCAAAATCACCCCCCCACACACACACCCGGCAGACACGGGCCCCCAGAACTCTCCCAACCCCTGATAAGACTGTCCCCTCAGAGTCACCCCCTGCCCTCAAGACAGATTCCCTTGTGCCCCACATAGACCCTTCCCCCCCGAGGGCTCTCCCCCCACACACATGGTCCTGGTGGATTTCATGCTCCCATCTCCCCCTCCTCTGCCCTCTACAACACACACAGACCTCTCCGGCCCATGGATTCCCCCCACCCATAAAGTTGTAGGGACTGGAGTTGTGTGTGGGTGCATCACACCTACCTGAGCCGCAGGGGGCGCTGTACTCAGCCTCTGTGTGTTCACCTGCAACAGCAAGGCATGTAAGGAATGGAGGAGAGACCCAGTGGGGGGATGAGAACCCCTCC